TAATAATAATAATAATAATGAAGTAGATCTAATAAATAATATTAAATAACATTAATAAATAATAATAAATAACATTAATAAATAATATTAATTCTAATGAAATAACGATTAACGTAATTCTGCTGTAGTGCAACAAATCTATTAAAATTAGTCTGATCAATTAATATTAAACCTCATCTATTGTATGTTTCCTTGATCATGTTGGAGAAATGTGGAAATTTAGTTATCCATGTGTTGCAAGAAGTGTAGTTATCCATGTGTTGCAACAAGTGTAGTTATCCATGTGTTGCAAGAAGTGTAGTTATCCATGTGTTGCAACAAGTGTAGTTATCCATGTGTTGCAAGAAGTGTAGTTATCCATGTGTTGCAACAAGTGTAGTTATCCATGTGTTGCAACAAGTGTAGTTATCCATGTGTTGCAACAAGTGTAGTTATCCATGTGTTGCAACAAGTGTAGTTATCCATGTGTTGCAACAAGTGTAGTTATCCATGTGTTGCAACAAGTGTAGTTATCCATGTGTTGCAACAAGTGTAGTTATCCATGTGTTGCAACAAGTGTAGTTATCCATGTGTTGCAACAAGTGTAGTTATCCATGTGTTGCAACAAGTGTAGTTATCCATGTGTTGCAACAAGTGTAGTTATCCATGTGTTGCAACAAGTGTAGTTATCCATGTGTTGCAACAAGTGTAGTTATCCATGTGTTGCAACAAGTGTAGTTATCCATGTGTTGCAACAAGTGTAGTTATCCATGTGTTGCAACAAGTGTAGTTATCCATGTGTTGCAACAAGTGTAGTTATCCATGTGTTGCAACAAGTGTAGTTATCCATGTGTTGCAACAAGTGTAGTTATCCATGTGTTGCAACAAGTGTAGTTATCCATGTGTTGCAACAAGTGTAGTTATCCATGTGTTGCAACAAGTGTAGTTATCCATGTGTTGCAACAAGTGTAGTTATCCATGTGTTGCAACAAGTGTAGTTGTCCATGTGTTGCAACAAGTGTAGTTATCCATGTGTTGCAACAAGTGTAGTTACCCATGTGTTGCAACAAGTGTAGTTATCCATGTGTTGCAACAAGTGTGGTTATCCATGTGTTGCAACAAGTGTAGTTATCCATGTGTTGCAACAAGTGTAGTTATCCATGTGTTGCAACAAGTGTAGTTATCCATGTGTTGCAAGAAGTGTAGTTATCCATGTGTTGCAACAAGTGTAGTTATCCATGTGTTGCAACAAGTGTAGTTATCCATGTGTTGCAACAAGTGTAGTTATCCATGTGTTGCAGGAAGTGTAGTTATCCATGTGTTGCAAGAAGTGTAGTTATCCATGTGTTGCAAGAAGTGTAGTTATCCATGTGTTGCAAGAAGTGTAGTTATCCATGTGTTGCAAGAAGTGTAGTTATCCATGTGTTGCAAGAAGTTCAGTTATCATTCTAACTTACTCACTAAAAGCAATATTTTACATATAATTTTTGCATGAGGTTCGAGCCTCTGATATCCTCACATTTCTAAATTAATTAAATGTTTGTGTCAGTAGTGTGATGACTGTGTTTTTCTCTCGGGGTCGCCTACACATGGAGGACGGCCGCTGGAATTAAAAAAATTATCAGAATTTACTTCTTGAGATATTTCTTAGTTTTGGGAATCAGTTACTTCTTAAGTTGAAGGTAATTCTTAGTTTTGGGAATCAGTTACTTCTTAAGTTGAAGGTAATTCTTAGTTTTGGGAATCAGTTACTTCTTAAGTTGAAGGTAATTCTTAGTTTTGGGAATCAGTTACTTCTTAAGTTGAAGGTAATTCTTAGTTTTGGGAATCAGTTACTTCTTAAGTTGAAGGTAATTCTTAGTTTTGGGAATCAGTTACTTCTTAAGTTGAAGGTAATTCTTAGTTTTGGGAATCAGTTACTTCTTAAGTTGAAGGTAATTCTTAGTTTTGGGAATCAGTTACTTCTTAAGTTGAAGGTAATTCTTAGTTTTGGGAATCAGTTACTTCTTAAGTTGAAGGTAATTCTTAGTTTTGGGAATCAGTTACTTCTTAAGTTGAAAGTAATTCTTAGTTTTGAGAATCAGTTACTTCTTAAGTTGAAGGTAATTCTTAGTTTTGGGAATCAGTTACTTCTTAAGTTGAAGGTAATTCTTAGTTTTGGGAATCAGTTACTTCTTAAGTTGAAGGTAATTCTTTGTTTTGGGAATCAGTTACTTCTTAAGTTGAAGGTAATTCTTAGTTTTGGGAATCAGTTACTTCTTAAGTTGAAGGTAATTCTTAGTTTTGGGAATCAGTTACTTCTTAAGTTGAAGGTAATTCTCAGTTTTGGGAATCAGTTACTTCTTAAGTTGAAGGTAATTCTTAGTTTTGGGAATCAGTTACTTCTTAAGTTGAAGGTAATTCTTAGTTTTGGGAATCAGTTACTTCTTAAGTTGAAGGTAATTCTTAGTTTTGGGAATCAGTTACTTCTTAAGTTGAAGGTAATTCTTAGTTTTGGGAATCAGTTACTTCTTAAGTTGAAGGTAATTCTTAGTTTTGGGAATCAGTTACTTCTTAAGTTGAAGGTAATTCTTAGTTTTGGGAATCAGTTACTTCTTAAGTTGAAGGTAATTCTTAGTTTTGGGAATCAGTTACTTCTTAAGTTGAAGGTAATTCTTAGTTTTGGGAATCAGTTACTTCTTAAGTTGAAGGTAATTCTTAGTTTTGGGAATCAGTTACTTCTTAAGTTGAAGGTAATTCTTTGTTTTGGGAATCAGTTACTTCTTAAGTTGAAGGTAATTCTTAGTTTTGGGAATCAGTTACTTCTTAAGTTGAAGGTAATTCTTAGTTTTGGGAATCAGTTACTTCTTAAGTTGAAGGTAATTCTTAGTTTTGGGAATCAGTTACTTCTTAAGTTGAAGGTAATTCTCAGTTTTGGGAATCAGTTACTTCTTAAGTTGAAGGTAATTCTTAGTTTTGGGAATCAGTTACTTCTTAAGTTGAAGGTAATTCTTAGTTTTGGGAATCAGTTACTTCTTAAGTTGAAGGTAATTCTTAGTTTTGGGAATCAGTTACTTCTTAAGTTGAAGGTAATTCTTAGTTTTGGGAATCAGTTACTTCTTAAGTTGAAGGTAATTCTTAGTTTTGGGAATCAGTTACTTCTTAAGTTGAAGGTAATTCTTAGTTTTGGGAATCAGTTACTTCTTAAGTTGAAGGTAATTCACAGGTTTGGGTATCAGTTACTTCAAAAGTTGAAAGTAATTGACACTTTTGGGAGAATTCCCTCTTAAGTTGTCCTAAATTATTATTATTATTATTATTATTATTATTATTATTATTATTATTATTATTATTATTATTATTATTATTATTATTATTATTATTATTATTATTATTTTCCTCAAGTTGCATTACAAGTTTTACCTTTAAGTTTTATAACATTATTTCTCGTTACTCCTTTACTGTGTGTAATAAAGACTACTGGAACTTCTGACCTGCCACATGGGAGCACAAATTGTGTCTATCCGGCCGCCAGGTAAGATACTATATATTTAATCCCGCAGGCTCGTCCTCCCACCTCCCACACGGAAGTATAGATTGTATTGACCTGGCTGTGGCGTCGGGTATACGGCTGATGGGGTTTAAAGCCTATCGCTTACACTAGGGTCATTAAGGCTGCCACGTAGCCTTTTCACCATTAGGCCAGAAAATTTTCATCCTTAAACTGGAAGGTTCCTAATACACAAGGAAACTGAAGAAATAACGAGGGTTTGAAGGGTGTGGGAAATTACCTGCAGGAGGTTTACAGGAGGTTTACTTATTACCTGCAAGTAATTTGGGTGAGGTAAGTGGGATATAGTCACAGGTCACAGAACTGTCACTCCCTCGATGCTCACTACATCACCACTCTCACAAAATGCTAGACATAATATTAAATTAACAATTACAATATTAACCATTAATACCAATAATGGTAAATTATAAAATAATGTGGACTCTATATGATTAGACTTGCTGGGTACACATTCGTATTGCTACCACTTACCGTTTAATTAGTGTAGATGAATCACACCACAACACCTGTCTAACAAATAGAATCTTATACTGGCCTGTGAGAAATCTAAATGGAAGGACTAATGGCACACTTCCCTATGTGAGGGATGACTTAGTCTTTTTATCTTCCATCCCAGTTCTTCAACAAGGAACATTAATACAGGTTCCTGTTACAAATTCACGCCAAAACTCCCAATTTGGCCTCAATGACTCTGGATTATTAGCTGAATTTTCCACAGCAACCAGTGCTCGAAAATTACAAATGGTGACCCTCCTGTATCACTCCGCGGACACTGCACACCTTTCTTCACACAAAATTTCTTGAAGGGTCAAATCAGCATCATTTTAATACAAAATTATTATAATATTCAAATTTACTCATGCTTAATTTGGGAAAATTCAAAACTTTCCACAAAGGGAAAACGTGATACGGTAGGGGATGGGCTACATGTATACTGCCGCGTGTATTCTCCTGTTATTTAGGTTCTCCTCTCAGTGTGTATTACAAACCACACGATGGATAAGGTTACTTGATATTGGCCAGTTTTCTTGTAATCTTGCTGGAGGAGACGGTAGGATATACCACCGATGTAATAAATTGCTAAGTGTAATAATTTATGTCCTTATTATAAAATAATGTGATTAATAATTGCTACCTAGAAGACAAAACAAAGCACTTCAGTAAGTCAAGTCCATTTAAATTCTTAATTATGTATAATTAATGATAATAATAATAATAATAATAATAATAATAATAATAATAATAATAATAATAATAATAATAATAATAATAATAATAATAATAATATCTTTATTTCTACAAGTACATGTACAAGGAATACAGGCGTATCTGGTATCAATGATATATTACTATATAGAAAGTCTCTTGTTATGCAGAGCATTTCGGACAAATTAAGTCAGTTTCGTCCCAGGATGCCACCCACACCAGTCGACTAACACCCAGGTACCCATTTTACTAATGGGGAACATAGACAACTGGTGCAAAGAAACATGCCCAATGCTTCTACCCTCGCCGGAAATCGAACCCGGACTCTTACTGTGTGAAGCGAGAGCTTTAGAAACCAGGTCATGGGGCACCATGGATTTACATTATAAATATACAGGAACCACATGCTTCTAATCCAATGTCTCGGAGGTAGTCAGGGAGCTTGAGATAGTGGACATCGAAGAAGGGACATTGTCTGCGACCTCGATGTCCATAAAATCTCACAAGTCTCCAAGACACATCAACTTCAGTAAGTTACAATTTGTGTTAAATGTATTCATTATTCTCCCTGCGTGTGGGTGGAAAGTTAATTCAAGGCTTTGTTTTTTTAAAAATCCCCCACAAGATTTACAAAATAGGAATGTGCAAAGGGTAGGAGTGAAGGGCAAGAGTATAATTAACAGTAGGTAAGTTTCTGTTTAAAAGTTAAAGAGAGTCTGCGTCAGAGGTGGGACTTTCAGCGAGGTCAGTTAGAGTGAGCATGTTGTGACGGTGGAGACGCAGAAATCCTGCACGCCAGCTGGTAAACAGGACAATCTGTTAAGACATGTTAGATTAAACACCTTATACTAAGAGTTTTAATAGTCAAAATTCTTAGCTACGAAGTCATTTTGTGATGTAGGTTAATTATGCCTAAGCATTTGTTTGTGTAACTTAGGTCATTATTAACCACTTTGCCAAGATCTATACATTTTGTATGTGTGTGAATATTTTTGTTGCTAAAACATTACTCACGAAGTTCTCACATATATTGCAAACGCACGTAAGTATACACACACACACACACACACACACACACACACACACACACACACCACACACACACACACACACACACACACACACACACACACCGAGCATGTCACCGGAGGCACACATCAACCAGATAGCTGCTGCAGCATACGGGCGCCTGGCAAACCTGAGAATAGCGTTCCGATACCTTAGTAAAGAATCGTTAAAGACACTGTACACTGTGTACATCAGGCCCATACTGGAGTATGCAGCACCAGTCTGGAACCCACACCTGGTCAACCACGTTAAGAAATTAGAGAAAGTGCGAAGGTTTGCAACAAGGCTAGTTCCGGAGCTCAGGGGAATGTCCTACGAAGAAAGGTTAAGGGAAATCGGACTGACGACGTAGGAGGAGAGGAGGGTCAGGTGAGACATTATAACGACATACAAAATACTGCGTGGAATAGATAAGATGGACAGAGACAGGTTGTTCCAGAGAGGGGACACAGAAACAAGGGGTCACAATTGGAAGCTGTAGACTCAGACGAGCCAGAGGGATGTTAGGAAGTATTTCTAAAGTCATAGAGTCGTCAGGAAGTGGAAGAGCGTAGCAAGTGATGTAGTGGAGGCAGGAACCATACGTAGCTTTAAGACGAGGTATGACAAAGCTCAGGAAGCAGAGAGAGAGAGAGGACCTAGTAGCGCTCAGTGAAGAGGCGGGGCCAGGAGCTGAGTCTCGACCCCTGCAGCCACAATTATTTGAGTACAATTAGGTGAGTGCACACACACACACGCACATATGCACACTTAGCTTCTCTGGTCGCCATAAAGGTATTCTTCGGCGGGGTGCAAAACGACTTACTGGAGCAGACGAAGGATCCGGTACTGATCGCCTTGCGTGAAGGAGTACAGTGGCGGGACTCCCTGGAAGATATCCTGCAGGAGGTGGTGAAGGGCAGGCTGGCCACCTGGGACAACAGCATCACCACCAGGCTCCTCATTGCGCTCAAGTACTCAGATTCAAAAGGTCAGCCACTCGTCCATTTGCCAGGGTTCGAACTCCTGCAGGAGAGAATAGCTTGGCCGATGCAGAAACACGCCTCTTACAAACCAAGGTAAGTTTACCTGTAGTCCACTTGCTGGTCTGATCAATCAAGCTGATAGTGTCTGCACGTGAGTTGGAAAATAAAATATATTTCCTGTTTTTCTGGTTTACATTAATTTCTTCAAGCTTAAAAGAATACACTTTCAGCCAATTACATTCAAATTTAATGGTAATAATCAGATGCTCATGTTATAAATCCGAAGCTTCTTTAGGTAGAGCGTTAGAGTACCATAAAGCTTGTGAGTGAGCTGTAAGTTAAAGCTGGAATGACAAGTTAAAAGCGTACCTTAGCAGAAATTTTACATCACGCTCACACACACACACACACATACACATGCATATATATGTCGTGCCGAATAGGTAAAACTTGCGATTTTGGCTTATATAGCAACGCTCTTCTTGCCAAATAAGGCAAGCGAAAATTTGTGTATGCAATAATTTAGCAAAAATTATTCTGAACCTAACGAAAAAAATATATTTCATTGTCTCTTGACTCAAGAAATCGTAATGACACGATTGCAAACAAACCATACCCCGGCCGGGATTGTTTGCAATCGTGTCATTACGATTTCTTGAGTCATGTTGACGGCAGTGAAGGGACTTGAGCTAGAGTTCGTCACGGCCACGCTAGCTGGAGATTCGTCTGTAAAAACTTGCATTTGTGGTCACAGAGGTGCCTGTGCTAACCTTCCTATGGTGTAGAAATATACCTAGTTGGATGAATCTTATTGTGGCTAGCTGGTCTAGTGGCTAACGCGACGGGCTGGAGTTTTGAGACTCTATGACCGCGGGTTCAATCCCGGCCGGGGGTATGGTATATTTCATTGTGTCTGTTTATTATTAAATTATTGTAAACTTATCTAAAATATATTTTGTTGGATTAGACTAAATTAAATTGCGCTTGTTATAATGAGGTCAGGTGAGTTTTCTAAGGTTCTTTTAGTACAAAATTATTAATTTTTACATTAACATAAATTAAAAAATCTGGGGAATTTTACCAAGCTAAGTTTATTTAAAGACATAAAATGAAAAATACTTAGCTTCAGCGGATTCGACCTCCTTCGGTGTGAATCGTGGTATCCCCACAACGGAGCTGTATAAGAACGAGAATTAGGTACATAGTTTCACCAAAGTTGCGTATATTCCAGCATTTCACACTTGAAACGGAATGTTTAGTGGAGTTGTACTCGCTTGGTTGGGCTCAAAGGCCCTCCAATCACGGGGTCTATTGGTAAATCGAGTCAAGGCTCACCCCCAACTATCAGCTGTAGCCAACCTAACTAGGAGTGGGAATGTCTAGGCCTGGGTATTTGTAGCTGACCCATATTTTTCCCTGGCTTGTGGTAGGGAAAATAGGACCCCATTAATGGTATCTTGATTGAAGCTGGAGTGTCTTGGAGAATGTTGCACTGTTCTCCACACACTGGGAATGTTCTGCAAACACTTACGCGGTTACACTACATTGTTCCAAGATTTGTCCATAGTTTCGTGGTATTTTCACAACAGGAAGACCGGTTACACTTCGCTACATAATTAGCTCTACCGCGAATTTCTGAGATTGTGAAAATGAACAAGAGTCAAGAACTCACTAATAACTATTGTCCCTTTGTTTCTGGTAAGTGGGCGATGTCCGTGTGGCGCACGTTTTCCTGTTCGTTTCTTGAAGCAATCTGAGCTGCATTGCGCACTCGCCCTCCTTACAAAGGATTTGCTAAACACTGCAACAGAATTCAATACAAGTCAGCAGATTTCTTGTTATCTAGTAACAGACGACAATTCATGATAGCCTCAAATTGTAAATAAAGTAGGTGTAGGGTTTTCTTTAATTTTCCTGTTCAGGTGAAGAGAATAATTACTGTCAATTCACAGTCACTTGTATTGTAACGAACACTAAATTCCAGCAGTGAGAAGGTAGCATGACGCTGGTTGACGCTGGTATTGCATGTGATTCTAATTAAGCGGTTTACCAGGAAGAAAGAGAGGATATCAGCCCTTGTTCTGGGAGGGATGAGTCCCTCAGGGCGCTGAAGGAGGCTGAGAGGGCTGAGAGATGCCACCTTTCTGGAGAATTTTCTACACAAAAATATTTCTCCAAACTTACAAGAGAAAATTTTAGAAAGGACTCGCCAATTGGCCAATTTTGCCTGTTTGGCACGACATTCACTCCATCATTGTCTTGCCAGAGGCGCGCCTACTACACTACTTTTAAAAAACTGCAAGATATCTCCACTCCTCCTTCAGAGTGCAGGCACTGTACTTCCCACCGTTAACCGGTTTCCCTGACTCTATAAATGTTACTATGCTCACACTCCAGCAGCACGTCAAGTCATAAAAAAAATTTGTCTCCACTCACTCCTATCTAACGTGTTCGCACACGCCTACTGGAAGTCCAAGTCCCTCGCACACAAATCCTTATTTACTCCCTCCTTCCAACCTTTCCTAGGATGACCCCTATCTTGCCTTTCTTACACTATTGATTTATACACCCTCTAAATCATTCTATTTTGTTCCATCCTCTCTAAATGTCCGAACCTTCCCCCCTCAACAGCTCCCCAGCCCTCTGGATAATTCTTTTAGAAACCCAGCAACCCCCCAGTGCACCACTCACCTTTTTCCCCTCATCAGTTCTACGATTCACCTCGTTTTTCATAGATCTATCTATTGACAAGTCCAATCTCAAATATTCTTCCTCCCTCCCTCCTATCTGATATCCAATCTTTCATTACCTAATGTTTTTTTTGTTATTACCTATGTTCACTTTTAATTTCCTTCTTTACATACCAATTCCAACTCGTCCACCAACCTTAGCAATTTCTCTTCAGGATCTCCCAAAAGCACAGTGTCATCAGCAAAAAGCAACTGTAACAACTCCCAATTTGTGTTAGATTCTTCATATCTGAAGTCCACAGCACGCGCTAACACCCGAGCTTTCACTTCTCTTATAACCACATGTACAAATATATTCAACAACCATGATGATAACACGCATCCCTGTCTAAGGCATACTTTTACTGAGAAATAATCTCCCTCTCTCCTACATACTCTAACTTGAGTCCATCTGTTTACTGCTTTCAGTAACCTACCACCTATTCAATACGTTTGAAACATTTGTCAAATTGCCCCTATCCATCCTATCATATGCGTTTTCCATATCCATAAGTGCAACGAAACCTCTTTACCCATATTTAAATACTGTTCACCTGTATTTTTCACTGTAAACACTTGGTCTACACACCCTTTACCCTTCCTAAAGCTTCCTTGTTCATCTGTTATCCTACTCTTCGTCTTATTCTTAATTTTTTCAATAATAACTCTATCAACAGACTTATTCCCCTTTACTTTTATACAAAGGAACTATGCATGTTTTCTGCCAATCCCTCGGTACCTTCCTCCTCTTCCATACATTTAGTAAATAAAATCACCAACTATTCCAAAATACATAAGGAAACTGAAGAAATAATGAGGGTATGAAGGGTGTGGGAAATTACCCACTGCCTCATGCACCTCTCCCACACTCACATCTGGCTCGTCCTCACTCCTACAAACTGTTATAACTCCTTGCTCAATGGACGAAATCTCAATTTTCATATCTTCTTCAACATCTAACAGTTCCTCAGAATATTCCCTCCACTTTCTTGATACCTCCAACTCTCCATCTAATAACTCTCCTCTCCTTTTTTTAGCTGTCAAGTCTTTTCGTTCCCTAGGCTTTCTCAACTTATTAATCTCATTCCAAAACTTTTCCTTATTCTCAGCAAAATTTGTTGATAGTATCTCACTCTCTCATTTGCTCTCCTTTTACATTCCTTCACCACTCTCTTAACCTCTCTCTCTCTCTCTCTCCATATACTTCCCACCTCCTAGTATCACAACTACTTAGTAAAAACCTCTAATATGCTAAATTTTTCTATCTTACTACTCTCTTTACCTCGTCATTCCTGGTTACAATAATATATGTACTGCTTTTGGAGGCTAGTATACCAAACGGGGAGTAGAATGAAATTAGCTCTGAGGCAAGCACACCATCGTATATCCTCGCAACATGAAGCAAGCCTAGTTCGCTAGGCTAAAATTGTCTGTAGGACTGTATGGTCCAGTGTCGTGAATTTGACTTGCTTCCCACGAGGCGGGCTAAAACAACACGGGTACGATCTCCCGGCTAGCCCCAGTATGTTATTGATTAAATACCACTGGTTAGTGGTTACAATAATATATATATATATATATATATATATATATATATATATATATATATATATATATATATATATATATATATATATATATATATATAATATATATATATTTTTTATTATCACACTGGCCGATTCCCACCAAGGCAGGGTGGCCCGAAAAAGAAAAACTTTCACCATCATTCACTCCATCACTGTCTTGCCAGAAGGGTGCTTTACACTACAGTTTTTAAACTGCAACATTAACACCCTCCTTCAGAGTGCAGGCACTGTACTTCCCATCTCCAGGACTCAAGTCCGGCCTGCCGGTTTCCCTGAATCCCTTCATAAATGTTACTTTGCTCACACTCCAACAGCACGTCAAGTATTAAAAACCATTTGTCTCCATTCTCTCCTATCAAACACGCTCACGCATGCCTGCTGGAAGTCCAAGCCCCTCGCACACAAAACCTCCTTTACCCCCTCCCTCCAACCTTTCCTAGGCCGACCCCTACCCCGCCCTTTCCCTTCCACTACAGACTGATACACTCTTGAAGTCATTCTGTTTCGCTCCATTCTCTCTACATGTCCGAACCACCTCAACAACCCTTCCTCAGCCCTCTGGACAACAGTTTTGGTAATCCCGCACCTCCTCCTAACTTCCAAACTACGAATTCTCTGCATTATATTCACACCACACATTGCCCTCAGACATGACATCTCCACTGCCTCCAGCCTTCTCCTCGCTGCAACATTCATCACCCACGCTTCACACCCATATAAGAGCGTTGGTAAAACTATACTCTCATACATTCCCCTCTTTGCCTCCAAGGACAAAGTTCTTTGTCTCCACAGACTCCTAAGTGCACCACTCACTCTTTTTCCCTCATCAATTCTATGATTCACCTCATCTTTCATAGACCCATCCGCTGACACGTCCACTCCCAAATATCTGAATACGTTTACCTCCTCCATACTCTCTCCCTCCAATCTGATAATTCAATCTTTCATCACCTAATCTTTTTGTTATCCTCATAACCTTACTCTTTCCTGTATTCACCTTTAATTTTCTTCTTTTGCACACCCTACCAAATTCATCCACCAATCTCTGCAACTTCTCTTCAGAATCTCCCAAGAGCACAGTGTCATCAGCAAAGAGCAGCTGTGACAACTCCCACTTTGTGTGTGATTCTTTATCTTTTAACTCCACGCCTCTTGCCAAGACCCTCGCATTTACTTCTCTTACAACCCCATCTATAAATATATTAAACAACCACGATGACATCACACATCCTTGTCAAAGGCCTACTTTTACTGGGAAAAAAATTTCCCTCTTTCCTACATACTCTAACTTGAGCCTCACTATCCTCGTAAAAACTCTTCACTGCTTTCAGTAACCTACCTCCTACACCATACACTTGCAACATCTGCCACATTGCCCCCCTATCCCCCCTGTCATACGCCTTTTCCAAAT